GGGGGGGGGTACCTGGGAGACCACCAGGCAGCACTCGCTCTCCATGAACGGCCTCTTCATGGCGCGAGCGCACTCCCGGGCCCCCTCCAGACAGCGCATAGCCTGTGAGTGCTGCCCCCTGCGCCAGCAGATGGTGCCAAGGTTGTAGCGGGCCCGGAACAGGTCCTCATGGAGGTGGTTCTGCCTGGGGTGATGGAGACGCAGGGCCCCGGGCAGCACCGTGAGCACCGCAGTGCACAGTATGCCCCTGCATGGAGGCCATAGGGGCTCCAACCAACCACGCCACCCTGCAGGTGGCAGAGGGGAAGGACCTCTCTGCTAACAACACCCACAGGGGCTGGGCCCGGGCCGGCTGGGCTGCCCCTCAGGAGGATCCTGTCCCCACCCACTTTCCCCAGGAACAGGGGCCTCTGCTCCCTCTGTGAGGCAGGGCTGGGGCCTCACTCGGAGAGAAAGATGCTCTTCTTCAGAAAGTCGTCACACAAGGCCGGCTGCTGCAGGCTCTCGAAGGTGAGGCCGAGGTTGAGGTACAGCCGGGTCCTCATCTCACTCAGCTCTCGCTGCGATAATGTCCCTGGAAGGTACCTGCTCTGGACTCTCAGCTTCTTCCTCCTCGCCTGGGGTTTCCAGCCTCTCCCCACCGGCCTCCCACCACTCACTGTGCAGATGGCACAGAGGAGGGAGAGTGGACGGCTGCCCTGGGGTGCACCCCTCCTGCGGGGCCCATCACAAAGCACCTACCCTCCAGCTTCTCGTCCACGATGACCAGGCTCTTCTCAAAGGCAGCCTGAGCCTGCAGCAAAGAGTCCCTTGACTGGCCATGGTCGTAGATGTCCAGGTGAGTGCGGCCGATGGTGGCCCAGGCCCTCTGCAGCTCGACGTGGTTGGGCAAGGAGCTGGCCAGCTCCAGGTAGTGATGCTGGTGCTGAGGGCAGAGACCACCCAGGGCTGACCCCACCCCTGCACGTCTGCCTTCAGGGATCCCTACCCTTGTCCAGGAGAGTTCCAGGCTCGCAGACGCTCCAGGGAAGGCCAGAGCCAGCCCCAACAGCACAGTGAAGCCTCGGTGGGGCGGTAGGGCAGCAGCCCCCCCCGGGGGCGGTAGGGGAGCAGCCCCCCCCCCCAAGCACACCTGAAATAATGGCCCGGTATAGTCTCTGGTCCCAGGAAAGGCTGTGATGGCACCTCACCAGAGGACACAGCAGGAGCCGCAAGGTTAGGGTGCCTCTGGCTCCCTGAACTCTCTAGCCTGAGGCTCCCGGTGGGAGAGAGGCACAAAGAGACCCTAGGAAGAGCACTACCTGCAGTGCGGCTGAGTAGTCCTCCATCTCGGCCAGGCGCTCTCCGACCTTGCGGTGGGCCACTGCGCAGCCCAAGGCGTCCGCGGCGCTCTCGTGCAGCTGCAGCTCCTGCCGGTGTTCCTCCAGGGCCTCGGCGTAGCGGCCTGCGCCAGGAAGCCAGGCACCACCCGCTGCAACACCGCAGGCCAGCCCCGCCCCACCCCGGCCCAACCTGATCCCGCCCAGCCCGATTAGAATCCGGCACCGGCCCGCCCGCTCACCATGGCTGGCCAGCAGCTCCCCCAGCTGGTGACAGAGCGCGGCCTCCTCTCGCAGCTGCCCACTTCTCTGCGCCTTGGCCTTGGCCTTGCTCAGCTCTGCGAGGGAATCAGCGCGGGGGCTGAGCCTTCGCCTGGCAGGCCCCGGGCTGCGTAGAATCCCGCTCCCCGCCCCGCGCCCCCAGGCTGAGGTCGAGGCACTCACGGCGCAGCTCGCGCTCCAGGCTCATACTCTGGTCGCCGCCACGGCCGCCTCGGGATCCGGACTTCCCGCGCTGCGCCCGCGGCCCCGCCCCTCGCCACGCAGGCGCCGCCCAGACCTCGCACAGGCCCAGTCCCACCCCTCGGAGGGGGCGCGGTCAGGCGCGGAGCGTTCTGGGAGGTGTAGTCCACCGCCCGCAGCATCCTGGGGGTTGTAGTCCGGTTGGCGCAGGTGCGGGGACTGGACCGGGGTTCACCGCCGCCCTCGAACCAGGCCCACCCGCGCTTCCCACAGCGGTTTTGTGTCCCATTCACTAGTTTCCTGTCGAAGTCGACACGACCCAACAACACACGCAGCTTTGAAAGGGGCAAGTGATGCCAATATAAAGAAATAAGAGTGACGTGGAAAGCGTCTGCGTGCACGTGGCGCGCGGTGAGCAAGGCTCCAGCCGGAAGCTCTGGGTCAGCCAGACGGATAGAGGGGTTTGGTCCACCCCTGCTGGGATGGGCGGGGCGCGTGCCTGGAAAACTCAGCCAATTTTAAACCGCAGAGCTGTCTCCTGTGTTGGGAGAATTCCCCCGTGTCTGATTCCTGTGACTTGGGCTCTCTCTGGGCTGCGCAGAGGCGGCCCAGGAATGGGAGCTAGATGAGGGGAATCGGCCCAGGGAGTAAACTCAGAGCCATGAATGGACAGTGAGCCTGCTAGGAGAGTGGCATGGAGGGCAGTGGGTCCCTGGACTGGCGGCCCACAGCAGCAGAGTGTTGGCCTGGCCAGGCATGAGGGCTGGGCAGCTCAGGGGCTTGGTGCCTCCCATGCTGCAGGGGTATGCAGGTGAGGTGGGATCCCAGCAGGCCTCCTCTGGGAGAGTGAAATGCCCTATTAGCCCCAGCTAGGGGTGGGCACCGGGCGGCGGACCTTGCCCACCCAAGCAAGTTGGTGACCTGAAGAGCAGGCAGGCGGGGACACACACACACACAGTGAGGGATGGTGTGGGGTGGGGGCCAAGTACAGAAGTTGAGGATTGTGGGTGAGTGGGCTGAAGACAGAAGGGAACCCCAGAGCTGGGAAGACCCAGAGCCACCTCCCCTCCAGCCCCAGGGTCCACAGGACAGCCCATCTCCAGGGGGCTAGCTTCCTTTCAGAGACCCAGCTTCTCTGCACATCGCCTGCTGACCAGCAGGGTGTGGGTGTTGGGCCCGGAGTGAGGTGGCCAAATGTGGGGTGTCTGACCCAGCAGGAAAGGCAGGCAGGCCCAGGAGGCCACCCGAAAGGCTGCTTTCTGGTGCAGAAGTGCACACAGGACGTGGTTTGAAATGTTGTTTTTGAGGGATTTTTGCTCACTGGAGAGGCAGAAACAGAGAGAAAGTGAGAAATCACCCCCCAGGGGGATGGCCACACTGCAACCCTTTTCCTCCTTTCTCTCAGGATTTTGGGCCAGCACACACACGTCTCCGGAGTGTTTCAAACCATTTGGTCCGGGACTTGAACCAGTCTAGCACCTGTTACTATGCCAACTGGCCCCTGGGATGTTGTTTTAAAGAAATTATACATTGAAAATACCCAGAGAACACAGACCACAAAAATGACATGTACATCATTTCAAAGTGGCAAAAACGCTTCTTGCTCTGCTCTTTAAAAAAGTATTTTTATTATTTTGTAAATGTTTCACTTTGAGTGAGCTGGGGAAAGAAGGGTGGGGCCCGTCTCATCCTGACACCCCAGACCTTTCCCTCCATCCTCCAGACAACCAGGCACCAAAATGACCCAGGAAGCTGAGGACGAGCTGCTGGACAAGGTGTCTGCAGTGACAGCTCACACACACTACCACAAGGCTCACGGTGCCAGCCACCAGACACTGTCTTCCCAGGCACCTGGCTGTTGCTAGTATCAGCCAGTGTGGGGCCACTCTGGGGGTGACACTGGGGTGCTGTGAAACACACACCTCACCCAAGGGTCCTTGCCTGGGCATGCCAGCTCATGCACAGCCCTGGGCCGGCCCTCCTGGCCTCTCCAGCCAGGGCCCCCTTCCTCCTAGTGGCGTCCCAGCACACCCTCTCTGGCACCCTCCTGCACACAGATTTGCCGTCATCCCAGCCTGGCTGTCCCCAAGAGACCACTGGGCCTCCCCTCAGGTGAACCCATGTTTCACACATGCACCCAAACAGGTAGGTGTAAGCCCATCCCACCCACCCGTCCCTTGGGATGTGGTGCCACCCCTCTGTGTGCCAGTGTGGGGCAGGAATGGCCTCTGAAGGCAGAGGGAATCACCAGCTGTTCCTGAGTCAGTGGCCACTGCCCCCCAGGGACATGCTGGGTGCTGGGTGGGGGGGCGCTTTGTAGAGGGTGGATACGCAGCTTCTCGACTCTGCACAAGGCCTCCCTCAAGGTGCTCCCTCAAAGCCCCACAGCCTGGGCAGGGACCAGAACCCAGACAAGCGTCTTTGAAACAGCCCCAGGACAAGCATGGCCCATGCAGGGCAGACCGCTGAGGAGGACACTGGCCCTTACTGGCTGGTGTTCCTGTCCCTGCGCCCACACCTCTGCCTGGGCAGCGTGCAGAGGACCAGGCAGGGCCCACCTGGCAGAGGAAGCCTGTTCTTTGGTATTGAAGTGACAAGGGGCCACAGAAGAGCCCCATCTCCTCCGCAAGGTGGGGTGGGGTGGGTGCACCCTTCCCAGTGACTCTGGGGGTCCTCCAAGGCCAGGCTCCTTTCCAGCCTGGGGGACTGCATGCTGGCCCAGCCTTTAGCACGGTGCACAGTGGCAGAGTTGGAGAGGGCCTCCCACAGGGAGAGGCCTGTTGCCATCTAGGTCAAGAGCAGCAGAGCTGTGGTGGCCCCTGGGACTTCTGCTTTGCCAGGCCCAGCCAGCTGCCCACATGCTTCTTTCATAGCCTAGAGACGCGGGGTCCTTGAAGTCAGACACAGCCAATGGGCTCTCCGCCAAGTTGCAGACCTTGTAGAAGAGCCTGAAGAGGGTTTACTTTTCCTTTCTGGGAAGAGACAGTTTCACCCTGCATTCTGAAAACACCTGTTGGAGCCCTCCTGGCAGCCTCTCCTTCCTCGGCTCAGCCCTGCAGCACTCCCTACCCAGACTGGGCGCCCTGGGAGTGCAGGAGCAGGCGGTGTTTCTTGTCTCTCCCAGGGGTGCGCACAGGCGCAATGACAGGGACAGCAGACTGACCCCTGGGCCAAAACAAGCTCCACCGTCCAGCTACAGCCACGCCATCCCCTCGAACAAAACAGAAAGTAGGAAACAAGGCTGCCTTTTTAATCGCAATCAAATATGCTGTCTGCAGTCGGCAAGGCCCCAGCCCGGCCCAGGAACTGCACGGAGCCGGAGCAGACAGTACCGCCTTGCCGTGCACACGGGAGCCGGGCAGGGCCACTGCGCTGGCTTCTCACCCGCCTCGCCGTGTCCCTGAGCCCGTGGGGTGCCCAGCGTGCAGCTGTCTCTGTGGCCGGCCCAGCCTCCTCCCTGGGAGGAGGAGAGCGGGGACCCTGTTGCACACGCATGCAGACTCTCCAGTGAGCGGTTTGTTCTCCTTCCATAGGATGACCGGATGGTCCTGTGGAGCCACTGCCGAGCTGGGGCAGGACAGCGGTGCCGGCTGCCGCTCGTGCTACTTCTGTATCTGAAACAGGAAGAGCCGCAGGTTGATGTTCTTGGCAGCCAGCAGCTTGTTGCACTCCACGGAGTCACTGATGGGCAGCGGCACGTAGTCCGTCTCGTTGCTCTCGTTGGTGAAGACGAAGTGGTAGATGACGGGGCTGATCCGCACATCCTCATAGGGCCCCTTGAGCAGCAGGAAGGAGCACTCCAGAGGCGCTGTGACCTTGCTCTTGAGGAGGAGCTGGAAGGACAGCGTGCGCTTGCAAGACAGGTTGGGGTTGCGCTCCGAGTCATTCACGCGTGCCTTCAGGACCCACGTCTGGCTGAGCACCGTGAACCTGGGCGTCTCGTAGTACAGGCGCGTGATGAAATCATCCGTCCGGTACGGTCGGAACTGGACCTCTGCGGAGACAGACAGGGCCGGAGAGAGCCGCCATTAGTGTGAGCAGGGCTGGGCGACAGCGCCTCTCCCGACAGGCCGAGGACCAGCCCAGTCAGGAAGGCAGGCAACTTACCGGGCGCGGGCGCTCGTCGGTCATGAGGCAAATTGAGCGCAACTATGGCAAACGGAGGTGCACACAAGCCTTGGGGATAGCTATGACAGAGTCGACACGAGGCTGGAGTCTCTGGGCTCTGAGGGGCTGGGCTGGCCCTCCTCGCCCTTGCCCGGGCCCGCCGGGCGTGGGGAAGCACACACACAGACAGCAGTTACGAGAGCAAGTGCACTTTATTGGTTCCGATACAGAGCTGCCAGAAAAGCCCCCCAAGGGGGCTCCGGGCCCCGGCACCTGGCTGTGCGAGGCTTCTGCCCAGCCGTTGGCGGGCTGTCGTCAGCAGGCAACCCGCCTCACACAGTCCTCACAGGCAGTGCACGCCGGGGCTGGCAGGTCCGTCTGCGGAGGTGCGGGCTTGCAGGCAGCCAGTCCTTCCTGCACAACGAGGGACCCCACCTGGCCATGGCTGCAGCCAC